ACGTTTGGTGTTCGCCAAAAGCCATGTGGGAGACTCCCCAAACATATGGAAGAAGGTACTCTGGTCAGATGAGACTAAACTTGAGCTTTTTGGCCATCAAGGAAAACACTATGTCTGGCGCAAATCCAACACCTCTCATCACCCCGAGAACACCATCCCCACAGTGAAGCATGGTGGTGGCAGCATCATGCTGTGGGGATGTTCTTCCATCGGCCGGGACTAGGAAACTGGTCAGAATTGAAGGAATGATGGATGGCGCTAAATACAGGGAAATTCTTGAGGGAAACTTGTTTCAGTCTTCCAGAGATTTGAGACTGGGACGGAGGTTCACCTTCCAGCAGGACAATGACCCTAAGCATAATTCTAAAGCAACACTCGAGTGGTTTAAGGGGAAACATTTAAATGTTTTGGAATGGCCTAGTCAAAGCCCAGACCTCAATCCAACTGAGAATCTGTGGTATGACTTAAAGATTGCTGTACACCAGCGGAACCCATCCAACTGGAAGGAGCTGTAGCAGTTTTGCCTTGAAGAATGGGCAACAATCCCAGTGGTTAGATGTGCCAAGCTTATAGAGACATACCCCAAGAGACTTGCAGCTGTAATTGCTGCAAAAGGTGGCTCTACAAAGTATCATTATTTTGCATCTTCAAAGTGGTAGGCATTTTGTGTAAATCAAATGATATAAAAACCCAAACAGAACATACATTCCTGAAACTAAAATATTAGAAATTGTGATAAAAAATCGAACATGGTGGAAAATCAAATACAGTGGGGAAAAAAAGTATTTAGTCAGCCACCAAATGTGCAAGTTCTCCCACTTAAAAAGATGAGAGAGGCCTGTAATTTTCATCATAGGTACACGTCAACTATGACAGACAAATTGAGAAAAAGAAATCCAGAAAATCACATTGTAGGATTTTTAATGAATTTATTTGCAAATTATGGTGGAAAATAAGTATTTAGTCAATAACAAAAGTTTCTCAATACTTTGTTATATACCCTTTGTTGGCAATGACACAGGTCAAACGTTTTCTGTAAGTCTTCACAAGGTTTTCACACACTGTTGCTGGTATTTTGGCCCATTCCTCCATGCAGATCTCCTCTAGAGCAGTGATGTTTTGGGGCTGTTGCTGGGCAACACCGACTTTCAACTCCCTCCAAAGATTTTCTATGGGGTTGAGATCTGGAGACTGGCTAGGCCACTCCAGGACCTTGAAATGCTTCTTACGAAGCCACTCCTTCGTTGCCCGGGCGGTGTGTTTGGGATCATTGTCATGCTGAAAGACCCATCCACAATGCCCTTGCTGATGGAAGGAGGTTTTCACTCAAAATCTCACGATACATGGCCCCATTCATTCTTTCCTTTACACGGATCAGTCGTCCTGGTCCCTTTGCAGAAAAACAGCCCCAAAGCATGATGTTTCCACCCCCATGCCTCACAGTAGGTATGGTGTTCTTTGGATGCAACTCAGCATTCTTTGTCCTCCAAACACGACGAGTTGAGTTTTTACCAAAAACTCATATTTTGGTTTCATCTGACCATATGACATTCTCCCAATCCTCTTATGGATCATCCAAATGCACTCTAGCAAACTTTAGACGGGCCTGGACATGTACTGGCTTAAGCAGGGGGACACGTCTGGCACTGCAGGATTTGAGTCCCTGGCGGCGTAGTGTGTTACTGATGGTAGGCTTTGTTACTTTGGTCCCAGCTCTCTGCAGGTCATTCACTAGGTCCCCCCTTGTGGTTCTGGGATTTTTGCTCACCGTTCTTGTGATCATTTTGACCCCACGGGGTGAGATCTTGCATGGAGCCCCAGATCGAGGGAGATTATCAGTGGTCTTGTATGTCTTCCATTTCCTAATAATTGCTCCCACAGTTGATTTCTTCAAATCAAGCTGCTTAGCTCTTGCAGATGCAGTCTTCCCAGCCTGGTGCAGGTCTACAATTTTGTTTCTGGTGTCCTTTGACAGCTCTTTGGTCTTGGCCATAGTGGAGTTTGGAGTGTGACTGTTTGAGGTTGTGGACAGGTGTCTTTTATACTGATAACAAGTTCAAACAGGTGCCATTAATACAGGTAACGAGTGGAGGACAGAGGAGCCTCTTAAAGAAGTTACAGGTCTGTGAGAGCCAGAAATCTTGCTTGTTTGTAGGTGACCAAATACTTAATTTCCACCATAATTTGCAAATAAATTCATAAAAAATCCTACAATGTGATTTTCTGGATTTTTTTCCCTCAATTTGTCTGTCATAGTTGACGTGTACCTATGATGAAAATTACAGGCCTCTCTCATCTTTTTAAGTGGGAGAACTTGCACAATTGGTGGCTGACTAAATACTTTTTTCCCCCACTGTATGGCGGACCTTATGAGCCCTTGAGGCAAATGTGATTCTAATGATGGGAAACACTTATATACCAGGTTTCTAGGTTGTACGTCAAGTGGGCGGCGGGGCTGTGCCTTAGATTTTGAATGTTTATTACAGCGCCCACTATGGGCCAATGTAGGCCACTTTTGGTGTCTGAGTAGCGGTGTTGATATACTTCCATATTGCCAAAGTATATATAACTACCGGTCAAAAGTTTTACAACACCTACTCATTCAAGGGTTTTTCTATATTTGTAATATTTTCTACATTGTAGAATAATAGTGAAGACATCAAAACCATGAAATAACACATAAGCTGATTTGTTTAACACTTTTTTGGTTACTACATTATTCCACATGTTATTTCATAGTTTTGATGTCTTCACTATAATTCTACAATGTAGAAAATAGTACACTGCTCAAAAAAATAAAGGGAACACTTAAACAACACAATGTAACTCCGTTCTACTAACATCTTCAATGTGCACCTCGAAATTCGATAAGAGGGTCGCACGCAGTTGCGTCCCCGACGTGTCTCTCTTCACTTGTTGCCTACTTCTTAGCTGAGATGCCTGTGAGAAGGACCCGATCACGTGACGGGCATTGGCTAATAAGAATTGAGATATCTGAGAGAGCCATGTGAGTGAGAGGGGCTTCGAAGCCCAAGGGCACAACTCAGCCCAAGGGCACAACGGCATCTTTGGCCACAAAAGGCATGGATTTTTGGAGGAGCATTACGGCCAAACAAGGGGGATGCCGCCGGAACATTCGAGGCTTGGTGAGAATATACACTGCTCCAAAAAATAAAGGGAACACTTAAACAACACAATGTAACTCCAAGTCAATCACACTTCTGTGAAATCAAACTGTCCACTTAGGAAGCAACACTGATTGACAATACATTTCATATGCTGTTGTGCAAATGGAATAGACAACAGGTGGAAATTATAGGCAATTAGCAAGACACCCCCTATGCTTCCTGGCTGATGTTTTGGTCACTTTTGAATGCTGGCGGTGCTTTCACTCTAGTGGCAGCATGAGACGGAGTCTACAACCCACACAAGTGGCTCAGGTAGTGCAGCTCATCCAGGATGGCACATCAATGCGAGCTGTGGCAAGAAGGTTTGCTGTGTCTGTCAGCGTAGTGTCCAGAGCATGGAGGCGCTACCAGGAGACAGGCCAGTACATCAGGAGACGTGAAGGAGGCCGTAGGAGGGCAACAACCCAGCAGCAGGACTGCTACCTCCGCCTTTGTGCAAGGAGGAGCAGGAGGAGCACTGCCAGAGCCCTGCAAAATGACCTCCAGCAGGCCACAAATGTGCATGTGTCTGCTCAAACGGTCAGAAACAGACTCCATGAGGGTGGTATGAGGGCCCGATGTCCACAGGTGGGGGTTGTGCTTACAGCCCAACACCGTGCAGGACGTTTGGCATTTGCCAGAGAACACCAAGATTGGCAAATTCGCCACTGGTGCCCTGTGCCTTCACAGATGAAAGCAGGTTCACACTGAGCACATGTGACAGACGTGACAGAGTCTGGAGACGCCGTGGAGAACGTTCTGCTGTTTGCAACATCCTCTAGCATGACCGGTTTGGCGGTGGGTCAGTCATGGTGTGGGGTGGCATTTCTTTGGGGGGCCGCACAGCCCTCCATGTGCTCGCCAGAGGTAGCCTGACTGCCATTTGGTACCGAGATGAGATCCTCAGACCCCTTGTGAGACCATATGCTGGTGCGGTTGGCCCTGGGTTCCTCCTAATGCAAGACAATGCTAGACCTCATGTGGCTGGAGTGTGTCAGCAGTTCCTGCAAGAGTAAAGCATTGATGCTATGGACTGGCCCGCCCGTTCCCCAGACCTGAATCCAATTGAGCACATCTGGGACATCATGTCTCGCTCCATCCACCAACGCCACGTTGCACCACAGACTGTCCAGGAGTTGTTGGATGCTTTAGTCCAGGTCTGGGAGGAGATCCCTCAGGAGACCATCCGCCACCTAATCAGGAGCATGCCCAGGCGTTGTAGGGAGGTCATACAGGCACGTGGAGGCCACACACACTACTGAGCCTCATTTTGACTTATTTTAAGGACATTACATCAAAGTTGGATCAGCCTGTAGTGTGGTTTTCCACTTTAATTTTGAGGGTCACTCCAAATCCAGACCTCCATGGGTTGATACATTTGATTTCCATTGATAATTTTTGTGTGATTTTGTTGTCAGCATATTCAACTATGTAAAGAAAAAAGTATTTAATAAGATTATTTCATTCATTCAGATCTAGGATGTGTTATTTTAACGTTCCCTTTATTTTTTTGAGCAGTGTACAAATAAAGAAAACCCCTTGAATGAGTAGGTGTTCTAAAACTTTTGACCGGTAATGTATATATATTTTTTACCAATCGGGCATTGAGATATTGGGACAGAGACAAACTACATGGAGTTATTGCTGCTCTGATAACATTCCCTCCTCTGCCACTGGTATGACTATGTTCCTTTGGACTGATTGAGGGAACTAGATTAGAGCGCTCCATGCATGTGGTAATGGAGTTGGCCAATATTCAAAAACCATGGAGAAAACATAAAGGGGGGGGGGGGGGGGGGGTGTGACAGTGGAGGGAGTGTAACCTCCTTAAACCTACACCCTGTCTATTTCTGCAAATAATTGCTGGAGCATCTTAGAAGAGAAATAAACATTGCATAACTAACTAACTGCATGTGTGTATCTCACGTTTGTTGGTTGATGAACAAAACATTGCATAGCTAACTGTGTGTGTGCATGCATGCGTTTGTGTGCGTGTGTCTCACCTTGTTCGTTGATGGGTACAAGGCGGTAAACTTTGTATCGTTGGGAGATGTCCAGCTGTGACCTCTCGCTGACCTCTCTGAACTCTGGGCTCTTATTGAGAGCGCAGCGCAGCCGGGTCTTCCAGAAGGAAGGGTCAGCACGACTCCCGTCAGACAACTTCCCCTTGAATACCGCCCATGCCTGTGGAGGAGGAGGGGAGGCATTTAGACTCACAGCTCAGGAAAGAATGTCTACTGTATGTGTTTAATAGAGGGGAGGAATTTGGACTCAAAGCTCAGGAAATAACATCTACTGTATTTAGACACACAGCTCAGGAAATAATGTCTACTGTATGTTTTTAATAGATTATAAATAAGGAGGGGCTACTGTACAATTAAGAGTTAATGAACTAGGATAGTAGTGATAAGTTCATAGTGTCAGGACCTTGAAGATGGCTCCATCTTCACTACGGAAGTCCTGATTCCCGGCGTGTTTCCAGGGTATACGGAACATGGTCTTGGCGTTGTCGTCCCATATCAGGCCAGGATACTTCCCACTGCTGACCTGCAGCCAGACAAGACAGGATGGGGGTGAAACACGGTGGGGGTGAGACACGGTTGGGGGTGAGAAACAGTGGGGGTGAGACACGGTGGGGGTGAGACACGGTGGGGGTGAGACACAGACAAGGTATGGTGCAGGTGAGACACAGTAGGGGGTGAGACATGGTGGGGGTGAGACACGGTGGGGTAAAGACACAGACAAGACAGGGTGGGGGTGAGACATGGTGGGGGAGAGACAGTGGGGGTGAGACACGGTGGGGGTGAGACTAGGGCTCAACCCAAGGTCTTAGTCAGACAGTACACTGACTGTACTGGTCAATATCAGGGTTGGGGTCAATTCCATTTAAATTCCAATCAATTCAGAAAGTAATCCAAATTCCAAATTTTCCACATTGAAAAGCATTGAAGAGAATTAGAATTTAAGTGCACTTCCGGAAATGACTGGAATTTAAATGGAATTGACCCTGGTCACTATGACACACCAGTTGAGACACATCCACTATAAACAGCGGTTACAGTACACTTTCTCTCTCCCTCTTCTCTTCTCCTCTCCCTCCTTCTCTCTCCCACACACATTTGCACATTATTTCATACATGCTCGCAGTCGGCAAGACTGAATTATGCTGAATGCGCCGTTACATTTAGACAATACTTTAAAAACACAAGATACTAAATTCAATTAAAAAGGTCCTATCTTACAAGAAAATACATTTGCACAATAGTGACTATTGAACCCTTCCTCCACAAACATTCACCTGTTCAACCATCCAAGAGCGTAGTCTGCGCGTGGAGCGAATTCTCCTAGATGCCATTGCTGTGAAGACAGTATAATTAATTATTTCCATCTAATGCAATTTTGTGTGATAAAAACTATTCACACTGTATTAGCCTAGATATAGGCTACAATGGAAAAGACATAAACAAACATACACTGAGTGTACAAAACATTAGGAACACCTGCTCTTTCCATGACAGACTGACCAGGTGATGTCAACTGTTAAATCCACTTAAAATCAGTGTAGATGAAGAGGAGGAGACGGGTTCAAGAAGGATTTTTAGACCTTGAGAGAATTGAGACATGGATAGTGTATGTGTGCCATTCAGAGGGTGAATGGGCAAGACAAAAGATTTAAGTGCCTTTGAACGGGGTATGGTAGTAGGTGCCAGTCGCACTGGTTTGAGTGTGTCAAGAACTGCAACGCTGCTGGATTTTTCATGCTCAATAATTTCCCATGTGTATCAAGAATGGTCCATCACCCAAAGCACAACCAGCCAACTTGATACAACTGTGGGAAGCATTGGAGTCAACATGTGCCAGCATCTACATTTTACTCATTTAGCAGACGCTCTTATCCAGAGCGACTTACAGTTAGTTTTCATACTGGCCCCCCGTGGGAAACGAACCCACAACCCTGGCGTTGCAAGCGCCATGCTCTACCAACTGAGCTACACGGGGCATCTCTGTGGAACACTTGACACCTTGTAGTCCATGCCCCTGATGAATTGAGGCTGTTCCGAGGACAAAAGGGGGTGCAACTCAATATTATGAAAGGGGTGCTGGCTTATGAGCAGGCTGAGATACACTTATATACCAAATGTTGATGTTTGTACATCAAACAGGACGGCGGGGCTGATCCTTGGACTTCTTATTACAGCGCCACCTATGGGGACAATCTATGCCATTTATGGTGTCTGAGCTGTGTTGATATACTTTGATATTGCCAAAGTAGTCCTTTTTTTTAACCAATCGGGCATTGAGATATTGCGATAGAGGCGGAATAATAATAATAATATGAATTTGCTCAAAAACACTAGGTTTGCTTACAGCCAGCACACTAGCTACAGATTGTTATTGTGATTTAGCCCAAAAAAATGGTATCCATTACTGGGAGTTACAGGTTTGCCTATACAAAACGTTGCCAGAGATTTCTCAACTAAACTGGTATTACCGATACTATCTTCAAACATATATCTTCTAAAATGGCAATGTCCAGTTGCAGGTGGTGCGTTTGAATATAGATACAAATTATACATGAAGTAATCCAACAATGTGTATGCCGCCATCTTGCCTATTTAAAATCTTCTCTCATTGATTGAGACAGGGGGGTCCACCCCAAAGTGTCACATCATGATGACACTCATCTGTCTTGATCAATGAGAGAAGATTTTAAATTGAAAAGATGGCGGCGTACACATTGTTGGATCTACATTAAACAAAAATATCAATTCAACATGCAACAATTCCAAAGATTTTACTGAGTTACAGTTCATTTAAGGATATCAGTCAATTGAAATAAATAAATTAGGCTCTAATCTATAGATTTCACATGACTGGGAATACAGATATGCATCTAATGGCCACAGCTCCCTTAAAAAAAAGGTAGGGGCGTGGATCAGAAAACCAGTCAGTATCTGGTGTGACCACCATTTGCCTCACGCAGCGCGACACATCTCTTTCGCATAGAGTTGATCAGGCTGTTGACTGTGGCCTGTGGAATGTTGTCCCACTCACACCAATATCCCATTTTTGAGTTGACACGTCAACATCATATCCCATTTACAATAACCCAAAAACGATTGCATCCCGGTTATGAGAAAACCGGATAAGATGCCTGGGATATGCTGATCTTAGACAGTATACTGTGGCATGTAAACGTCTTATCCCCTTTTCTGTTGTTTTTCGAGACCTGCGCAGGCTCAGTTTTGCATATCATGGGTGTTGTGTGATGATATTTTTATCTGATTGTCAAACAAAAAACTTCAAAAGTAAGTTATCTGCACAGTTTGATCCACCATAATAATTTATTTTGCTGATACTCCATACTGGACCGCATAGCCTACAGGCCACTTTCACCCCTAAGTTAGACAACTTTCTGCTTATCATTTCCGATATTTGGTGGGCAATTTGTTTGTCAACTATAGTTAGATACAAGCAGCTTCTCTTCAGTCATAACTTGTTGCCCCAGAAGACTAAATAAAGTAGTGCTCACCAGAATAATGTCTTACATTGATAGAATGAATGCATTAGTAATCTAGTTAACACCGGTAAAGTTGTCTGTTTCATTTAGGGGCCGGGGAGAAAATGTAATAACTCCAAAACAGTGGAAAGATGGGTCCTGTGGAAAATGTCATCAGTTTAACCGGTTTTAAGGAAATGGAAAGCTGAGAAAACGATGAAACGTTTCTGATAAGACTTCAGTTAATCTTGGGCGCATATTTTGTGGTTGAAATACTGTCTGCTTGCATAACAGTCTCAAAGATAACACATTACATGCACATTCACATTTTCTTAAGAGATGCTGAAATAAATAAATAATATTTCTCCACTACTATTTTCCTGAGACAAAATTAACATTTTAAAGCAAAAAATGCATAATTCTGCAGGACTTAATATTATATTATGTGAGAGGTTATAGGCCTACAGTGAGTGTCCATATTTCAGTTACTATTCCATTTACCCACATGAACTTCAATTAGGAATATTCTGTTTATTCATGGAAACAGGGATACTCGTGAGTGGAATATCAAAGGTTCATTTAAACAGCTTGTCCCAAATAGACCTTATGCAGGATTTGAGCTACTATCCGGAATACTGTGCACTTGTAAACGTGTTCACTGGCTGTGCAAAGTTGCTGGATATTGGCAGAAACTGGAACACATCGATCCAGAGCATCCAAAACATGCTCAATGGGTGACATGTCTGGTGAGTATGCAGGCCATGGAAGAACTGGGACATTTTCAGTTTCCAGACATTGTGTACAAATCCTTGCGACATTGGGCCATGCATTATCATGCTGAAACATGAGGTGATGGCGGTGAATGAATGGCACGACAATGAGCCTCAGGATCTCGTCACGGTCTCTCTGCATTGAAATTGCCATCGATCAAATGCAATTCTGTTTGTTGTCCGTAGCTTATGCCTGCCCATACCATAACCCCACCGACACCATGGGGCACTCTGTTCACAACATTGACATCAGCAAATCGCTCGCCCACACGATGCCATACACGTGGTCTGCGGTTGTAAGGCCTGTTGGACATACTCTGGCATCTCTGGTGGACATTCCTGCAGTCAGCGTGACAATTCCATGTTCTCTCAAACTTGAGACATCTGTGGCATTGTGATGTGTGACAAAACTGCACAATTTAGAGTGGCCTTTTATTGTCCCCAGCACAAGGTGCACCTGTGTAATGATCATGATGTTTATTAAGCTTCTTGATATGTCACACCTGTCAGGTGGATGGATTTTCTTGGCAAAGGAGAAATGCTCACTAACAAGGATGTAAACTAATTTGTGCACAACATTTGAGAGAAATAAGCTTTTTCTGCATATGGAAGATTTCTGGGATGTTTTATTTCAGCTCATGACACATAAAATCAAATTGTATTCGTCACATGCGCCAAATACAACAGGTGTAGACATTACAGTGGAATGCTTACTTACAAGCCCTTAACCAACAATGCAGTTTTAAGAAAAATAAGTGTTAAGTAAAAATAAAAAATAATTAAATAGCAGCAGTAAAATAACATTAGCGAGGCTATATACAGGGGGTACCGGTACAGAGTCAATTTGCGGGAGCACAGGTTAGTCGAGGTAATTCAGGTAATATGTACATGTAGGTAGAGTTAAAGTGACTATAAATAGATAATAAATAGAGAGTAGAAGCAGCGTAAAAGAGGGGGTGGAGGGGTAGTAGCTGTCCGGGAAGCTACAGTTGGAGTCGAAAGTTTACATACACCTTAGCCAAATACATTTAAACTCAGTTTTTCACAATTCCTGGCATTTAATCCTAGTAAAAATTCCCTGTTTTAGGTCAGTTAGGATCAACACTTTATTTTAAGAATGTGAAATGTCAGAATAATAGTAGAGAGAATGATTTATTTCAGCTTTTATTTATTTCATCACATTCCCAGTGGGTCAGAAGTTTACATACACTCAATTAGTATTTGGTAGCATTGCCTTTAAAATTGTTTAACTTGGGCCAAATGTTTCGGGTAGCCTTCCACAAGCTTCCCACAATAAGTTGGGTGAATTTTGGCCAATTCCTCCTGACAGAGCTGGTGTAACTGAGTCAGGTTTGTAGGCCTACTTGCTCGCACACGCTTTTTCAGTTCTGCCCACACATTTTCTATAGGATTGAGGTCAGGGCTTTGTAATGGCCACTCCAATAACTTTACTTTGTTGTCCTTAAGCCATAACTTTGGAAGTATGCTTGGGGTCATTGTCCATTTGGAAGACCCATTTGCGACCAAGCTTTAACTTCCTTACTGATGTCTTGAGATGTTGCTTCAATAAATCCACATAATTTTCCTTCCTCATGATGCCATCTATTTTGTGAAGTGCACCAGTCCCTCCTTCAGCAAAGCACCCCCACAGCATGATGCTGCCACCCCCGTGCTTCACGGTTGGGATGGTGTTCTTCGGCTTGCAAGCACCCCCTTTTTCCTCCAAACATAACGATGGTAATTATGGCCAAACAATTCTATTTTTGTTTCATCAGACCAGAGGACATTTCTCAAAAAAGTACAATCTTTGTCCCCATGTGCAGTTGCAAACCGTAGTCTGGCTTTTTTATGGCGGTTTTAGAGCAGTGGCTTCTTCCTTGCTGAGCGGCCATTCAGGTTATGTCGATATAGGACTCGTTTTACTGTGGATATAGATACTTTTGTACCTGTTTCCTCCAGCATCTTCACAAGGTCCTTTGCTGTTGTTCTGGAATTGATTTGCACTTTTCACACCAAAGTACGTTCATCTCTAGGAGACAGAACACATCTAATTCCTGAGCGGTATGACGGCTGCGTGGTCCCATGGTGTTTATACTTGCGTACTATTGTTTGTACAGATGAACGTGGCACCTTCAGGCATTTGGAAATTGCTCCCAAGGATGAACCAGACTTGTGGAGATCTACAAAACAAAATTATGAGGTGTTGGCTGATTTCTTTTGATTTTCCCATGATGTCAAGCAAAGAGGCACTGAATTTGAAGGTAGGCCTTGAAATACATCCACAGGTACACCAGCGTTGTACTGGGCTGTACGCACTACCTTCTGTAGTGCCTTGCGGTCGGAGGCCGAGCAGTTGCCATACCAGGCAGCGATGCAACCAGTCAGGATGCTCTCGATGGTGCAGCTGTATAACTTTTTGAGGATCTGAGGACCCATGCCAAATCTTTTAAGTCTTGTGAGGGGGAATAGGCTTTGTCGGGCCCTCTTCACGACTGTCTTGGTGTGTTTGGACCATGATAGTTTGTTGGTGATGTGGACACCAAGGAACTTGAAGCTCTCAACCTGATCTACTACAGCCCTGTCGATGAGAATGGGGGCGTGCTCGGTCCTCTTTTTGCTGTAGTCCACAATCATCTCCTTTGTCTTGATCACGTTGATGGAGAGGTTGTTATCCTGGCACCATACGGCCAGGTCTCTGACTTCCTCCCTATAGGCTGTCTCATCGTTGTCGGTGATCAGTCCTACCACTGTTGTGTCGTCGGCAAACTTACATTTTACATTTACATTTTAGTCATTTAGCAGACGCTCTTATCCAGAGCGACTTACAGTTAGTGCATACATTATTTTATATTTATAATACTGGCCCCCCGTGGGAATCGAACCCACAACCCTGGCGTTGCAAACGCCATGCTCTACATCCCTGCCGGCCATTCCCTCCCCTACCCTGGACAACGCTGGACCAATTACGCGCCGCCCCATGGGTCTCCCGGTCGCGGACGGCTACGACAGAGCCTGGCCGCGACAACTTAATGATGGTATTGGAGTCGTGCCTGGCCATGCAGTCATGGGTGAACAGGGAGTACAGGAGGGGACTGAGAACACACCCAAGGGGCCCCCGTGTTGAGGATTACCATGGCAGATGTGTTGTTACCTACCCTTACCACCTGGGTGCGGCCCGTCAGGAAGTCCAGGATCCAGTTGCAGAGGGAGGTGTTTAGTCCCAGGGTCCTTAGCTTAGTGATGAGCTTTGAGGGCACTATGGTGTTGAACGCTGAGCTGTAGTCAATGAATAGCATTCTCACGTAGGTGTTCCTTTTGTCCAGGTGGGAAAGGGCAGTGTGGAGTACAATAGAGATTGCATCATCTGTGGATCTGTTGGGGCGGTATGCAAATTAGAGTGGGTCTAGGTTTTCTGGGATAATGGTATTGATGTGAGCCATGACCAGCCTTTCAAAGCACTTCATGGCTACAGACGTTAGTGCTACGGGTCGGTAGTCATTTAGGCAGGTCACCTCAGTGTTCTTGGGCACAGGGACTATGGTGGTCTGCTTGAAACATGTTGGTATTACAGACTCAGTCAGGGACAGGTTGAAAATGTCAGTGAAGACACTTGCCAGTTGGTCAGCGCATGCTCGGAGAACACGTCCAGGTAATCCGTCTGGCCCTGCGGCCTTGTGAATGTTGACCTATTTAAAGGTCTTCCTCACATCGGCTACGGAGAGCGTGATCACACAGTCGTCCGGAACAGCTGATGCTCTAATGCATGCTTCAGTGTTGCTTGCCTTGAAACGAGCATAGAAGTAATTCAGCTCGTCTGGTAGGCTCCTGTCACTGGGAAGCTCGCGGCTGTGCTTCCCTTTGTAGTATGTAATAGTTTGCAAGCCCTGCCACATCCGACGAGCGTCGGAGCCGGTGTAATATGATTCAATCTTAGTCCTCTATTGACGCTTTGCCTGTTTGATGGTTTGTCGGAGGGCATAGCGGGATTTCTTATAAGCGTCCGGGTTAGAGTCCTGCTCCTTGAAAGCGGCAGCTCTACACTTTAGCTCAGTGCGGATGTTGCCTGTAATCCATGGCTTATGGTTGGGGTATGTATGTACGGTCACTGTGGGGACAACGTCATCGATGCACTTATTGATGAAGCCAGTGACTGATGTGATGTACTCCTCAATGCCATCGGAAGAATCCCGGAACATATTCCAGTCTGTGCTAGCAAAACAGTCCTGTAGCTTAGCATCTGTGTCATCTGACCACTTCTTTATTGACCGAGTCACTGGTGCTTCCTGCTTTAGTTTTTGCTTGTAAGCAGGAATCAGGAGGATAGAGTTATGGTCAGATTTGCCAAATGGAGGGCGTGGGAGAGCTTTGTACGAACCTGTGTGTGTGGAGTAAAAGTGGTCTAGAGTTTTTTCCCTTTGGTTGCACATTTAACATGCTGGTAGAAATGAGGTAAAACTGATTTAAGCATTAAAGTCCCCGGCCACTAGGAGCGTCGCCTCTGGATGAGCGTTTTCCTGTTTGCTTATGGCCTTATACAGCTCATTGAGTGCGGTCTTAGTGCCAGCATCGGTTTGTGGTGGTAAATAGACAGCTAAGAAAAATATAGATGAAAACTCTCTTGGTAAATAGTGTGGTCTGCAGCCTATCATGAGATACTCTACCTCAGGCGAGCAAAACCTTGAGACTTCCTTAATATTAGATTTCGTGCACCAGCTGTTGTTTACAAATATACACAGACCGCCACCCCTTGTCTTACCGGAGGAAGCTGTTCTATCTTGCCGATGCAGCATATATCCCGCCAGCTGTATGTTATCCATGTCGTCGTTCAGCCATGACTCTCCTGAGTGGCGCAGTGGTCTAAGGCACTGCATCGCAGTGCTAGCTGTGCCACTAGAGATCCTGGTTCGAATCCAGGCTCTGTCGTAGCTGGCCGCGACCGGGAGACCCATGGGGCGGCGCACAATTGGCCCAGCGTCGTCCAGGGTAGGGGAGGGAATGGCCGGCAGGGATGTAGCTCAGTTGGTAGAGCATGGCATTTGCAACGCCAGGGTTGTGGGTTCGATTCCAGTATAAAAAATAAAAATGTATGCACTCACTAACTGTAAGTCGCTCTGGATAAGAGCATCTGCTAAATGACTAAAATGTAAAATGTAATGTAAATGTGAAACATAAGATATTACAGTTTTTTATGTCCCATTGGTAGGGTATCCGTGATCGTAGTTAGTCTATTTTGTTATCCAGTGATTGTACGTTGGCTAATAGGACTGATGGTAGAGGCAGATTACCCACTCGCCGTCGGATCCTTACAAGGCACCCCGACCTACGTCCCCGATATCTCCGTCTCTTTCTCATGCGAATGAAGGGGATTTGGGAACATCCTTTGCGTCCGACTCATTGAAGAAAAAATCTTTGTCCAGTACGAGGTGAGTAATCGCTGTCCTGATATCCAGAAGCTCTTTTCGGTCATAAGAGACTTTGGCAGAAACATTATGTAGAAAATAAGTTACAAATAACGTGAAAAAAACCCACACACAATAGCACAATTGGTTAGGAGCCCGTAAAAAGGCATCCATCTCCTCCGGCGCCATTCAATTGTCATGGGACCAACACTTTACATGTTGCGTTTATATTTTTGTTCAGTATAAATTCAAACGCACCACCTGCAACTGGACACATTTCAGAAGATACATGTTTGGCTGAATTGAGAATGAAGATAGTATCATCATTGGTCAAAAATTATCTGTGCTACACCAAACAGTACCTATCCTGTAACTCCCAGTAATGGATACCAAAAATGTTTGGTTAAATCACATTATCTGGTGTAACAATCTGTAGCTACCGGCACCCCTAATAAAAATAATTCAATCAAAAATAATAGGTTCGCTCACCCATAATAATAATAATAATAATAATAATAATAATAATAATAATGATACTAATAATGTAGAGCTTCAAATCTAATCTTGCTCTCATGGAATGTCATGTTTTTAGGCTGAGCAGAGTTCTATAAAAATGGATTGTAATATCAATGTAATTTAATGCATTTGATTCATCCATTTTGTTGGTGGCCAACTCGGTTGGTATACACATCTTACAGTTTAGCTTTAACAATTTCTACAGTACAGAACAACATGTGTAGAACTTCAGTAGAATGCTGCTTTAAAACACACATTAGTTCAACAACTTTGTACCCGTTTAAGACAGTAGCTACTTACTTGTGTTAATCAGATCTCCAGTCTTTTCTTCTTCCTCCTCTTTCAATATGACAGTTATCTCTCCATCTTTCTTCACCGAAAACACTGCATTCTCCTCTTTCACTCTGAACGCGTCTTCCTCTTCTTTCACTGTAACTTCTTCCTCTTTCACTGTAACAACCTCACCATCTAACGTTACTTCATTTTTTACGGTGACATCCTCCTCTTCCTTCTCCTCTTTCACGACAATATTCAGCCCCAGAGCTTCTTCCTCCGTCCAGCAGACCCCCTTTACTTTAGCAGGGGGGGAGTATCTTATTGCGCTCATGGTCGGGAATTTTAGCTAGCTAGTACGTAAGCCTAACACTAGGCTATTCGCTCATGCTGTCTGACCTATCCAGCTAGCTAGCTTCTAGCAACGTTCATATGCAATTAAAAGGGGTAACTAGCTAGACGACATACGTGTATTTAAAGCAGAGTGGCTAATATACACGAAAGCGCCTAAAGAGCTCCAATGTTTATTCTATGTTGGCTAGCAAGCTACCGAGGTGGCTGACTAGCGTTCCGTCCACTAGATTACATTTACGTCATTTAGCAGACGCTCTTAGAGCGATTTACAACGTCACATTGGCAGCATCGCCTGAAATACATACATCGCCATCTGCTGACTGGAGTGGGAAACGCAGTTGAGGGAAAATATATTTTTTCCAAACAAAAGTTTATTTTTAAATGTCTTTCATTATATAATATCAAATTGAGACCAACAAAAAGAAGGATGTGTTGATTGCTTAGTGCATATTTTTAATGATTGAGAATAAAACTAACTTTACATCCACTACACATCTGCATTTAAGGCAATACTGTATCTTATTAATTCATTCAATCAAACAAACAGATAAATAATCACAGAGATCCTATTAAATTACTAGAGGGGCTATGTCATAAACCCTCAAAGTTCCATAATGGGGCGAAAATGGCAGCCATCTTGGACAGGGAGAAATCCAAAACCATTCTAATTTGAATTAACGGCAGTAGAGGCATAGGTGATGCATTTCCTGCTTTTACTTATGCAGTAAAATAAAAGTAAGGCATGTGATGTATCAGAAATTGTGTAATGGAATTATAGTCAACCTAAAATATTGTCATATAATTATAAATACAGTTTATAAGGGTCTTATACCATTTGTTTTTGTATAAATAGCCTCTACAATATATGTAAACAGACCATAAATATATCAGCATTTATTTTCTTGGAAAGCTGTGAGTGCTATTATATGATACAATATCAGTACTTGTTGCATTTACAACTTGTCTAAGTCCTATCATCAACTGATTTGAGCCAGTGTATGGCTCATTGTTTGAATGGAATGTTGGCATATTGGCAGTTATTAGAATTTTTTTTGGAATCATTCCTCTGAAACTGTCTGGCTAGCTAGCTAACACACAGTGCAGATACATTCTTTACATTCATTGTTATACACAATAACCTATCACAGCACTGGCCATAGTTGACCTTTGGACCATCATAAGAAAGTTCATGTCCATTCTAGTATTCTAATTCCTAATTCTATACATATGTCAAAATAAGCACCTAGGCCTATACTGCTCCTACATGGTGTAACAATACATAGATGTAGATGTATATAATAAATGTCCAATAGTGGCATTCCACTTTTTATTTCTATGCAGAAAAAATATGTTGCATTAATCAAACCCTTTTTACAATCAGCACCTGGGTCGATCCACAAAGAGCGCCTTTGATATTTTATGTAGAAATTGTGCACAAATATTTAATTTTCAAAAGCCTGTTATATTAAATATGATGTGCCCTTTAATATAGACCACATGGAGAATTCAATAAATCTCATTTGTAATATAAAGGCTTGCTAAAGTGCCAAAATTCAGCACTTTGACATGTCCCTCTGTCAAACCTTGTGTCACTTCTAGGAAGATTTTAACCCACTTAATCCCCAAATGTTTCACCATCACTGTAGTTATTTTGTTGCTTTGACAAAGTCATTTCTGAAGATTATTTATTTCATGTGATTAGTGATTCATTGACATCTGTCCCTCATTTTAAGGTCAAACCTGTTACGTGAACTTAATATGGTGAGACTATTTTATTTCAAAAGAAACATTGAACATCGAATGGTCAAATCTAGAGTAAAAGCAGGTGAGCTGGTTCTACTCTCTTTGGCCATTTTCAGGTGTTTTGTGGTGGAAAACTGAGTGGGTCGAGCATAACACAACTCTGTTACCCATAGATAGACAGGCTAGAAATGTTTTAACGTTTGAATGTTTTGGTTTTTTGAAGCTTGCATTCAATTGCCAGAAGGGGAATCGTCAACCGAGGTTTTACGGTCAACTCTGTTACTTTATTTGGCACTTACTATAGTGATTTTGTATTTAAATGTAACCTCTTAAAGGGGGAAAAATACTTTTTTTTTATGAAGTTGAACATGTATGCTTTAAGATAGAATGTTAAAATTAGGTGAAATCAAACATATATATATATATTTCTAACCAAGTTACACTTCTCCAAAGCCACTGAATTGGTGGAACGACCCACCTGTGTTTTTTCTGACATGGTAGAATAATACTGATGGGAAATTTCATGAGGTAGTGAATGTTTTTCATGTCAACAACTTGTCAATAAAATTATCATCTCAGAACAACCTCAACACATTTTCATACAACTTTAGCTTGACGACTAGTACACAAATTAACTAAATGAAACAAAACAAGTAAATTCAAGAGGTTTCAAGTTTAGAATCTAGAAATGCACATTTTATTCATCAATTTAATACTTTACATTTTGCAATATCCAAATCATATAATCAAATTCATTTTGTAATATCCAATTCATATATCCAATCAAATTCATTTAGCAATATCCAAATCAAATTAGTTTTCAAAGTTAGAATCAATAAATGCAAAACTCCATCTACTGTATATAACCATTTACATTTTGCAATATCCAAATAATATAATGACAACATCGAAGGGTTAAAACAAAATACACATTTAAAATATTTAATCTGATTTTAGACATGATCATGTCTAGAGATTAAAAAACAATATGATTTCATATAAACCATATGATTTAATGTGGCCTAAACAAAAATGCAAATCCTCAGTCAAAAACATAAGTCAGAACACAGCCTCTCTATTCTCTCATGTGATTTCAGGTCCTCTGACCGGGAAAATGTCTTTTCACAATGAGAGCAGTGGTATGTCTTCTCTCCAGAGTGTATTCTCTTATGTATTTTTAGGCTCCCTAACTGAGTAAAACTCTTTCCACAGTGGGAGCAGTGGTACGGCTTTTCTCCTGTGTGTGTCCTCCCATGCGATTTTAGGTCCTGTGATTGTAAAAATCTCTTTCCACACTGGGAGCATTGGTAGGGCTTTTCTCCTGTGTGTATTCCTTCGTGCCTTTTCAGGTTCCCTAAAATGGTAAATGTCCTTCCACATTGAGAGCAGTGGTAAGGCTTTTCTCCTGTGTGTGTCCTCTCATGTGATTTTAGGTCATGTGATCGTACAAATCTCTTTCCACACTGGGAGCAGTGGTAGGCCATTTCTCCTGTGTGTATTCCTTCATGCATTTTCAGGCTCCCTAAACGGGTATAACTCTTTTCACAGTGGGAACACTGGAAAGGCTGTGCTCCTGTGTGTGTCCTCTCGTGCACTTTTAGGCTCCCTATCTGGGTAAAACTCTTTCCACACTGGGAACATAGGAAAGGCTTCTCTCCTGTATGTATTCTCTCATGTTTTTTGAGGCTCCATAACTCAGTAAAACTCTTTCCACACTGAGAGCAGTGGTAGGTCTTCCTCCCTGCTGTGTGTATTCCTTCATGCCTTTTCAGGCTCCCTATCCGGGTATAACTCTTTCCACAGTGGGAACATTGGAAAGGCTTCTCTCCTGTATGTATTCTCTTGTGTATTTTCAGGCTCACTAACTGAGTAAAACTTTTTCCACACTGTGAGCAGTGGTAGGTCTTCCTCCCTGCTGTGTGTATTCTTTCATGCCTTTTCAGGCTTCCTATCCAGGTAAAACTCTTTCCGCACTGGAAGCATTGACGTCGTCTCGCTGGTTTGGGTGTCTCTGGGTCTGGTTCCCCTGAAGGACTCTTCCCGCTGTCAGAGTGAGAGTCTGGTCTCTCTCCTACCAAAGACAAACAGAGTATTTAGTTAAGCAGAAAGATCTGAATGAAACCGCCACATGATAAAACTGTCTTCCTATGAGGTTTAATCTAGACTAGATCCATCAATAAAAGAGCAGAATGTGTAATCACAGAGTGGCTGTAGAGCTTTGTAGGCCAATAAAAACACTTGATTGAACTTGAATGTTGTTATGCATTCATTAGGCCTAATGGATAAATAGCCTAGTCAGTATAGGCTACATTTTAAGTGTACATTATTGTTATTTGGTAGGCTACTAGACTTAGAGGCATTCTGCATTCTGTTTTGGTACATAGCTGTGAGATGGGGTTTGAGAAATGTAACCCCTCAAATTCATAGACAGAGCTAGGGATGCAAGGACCGACCATGCATGAGATCAAAATTAATGTTTTAACCATGAGGGGACTTGATTAAGCTGGCCTGGTTCACTGGATGGGCAGGGTTTGCTTTTTAGACCTATACATGCCTCCTGTAAGACACTACGATCCGTGAACCGTACATGATACAGACAACCTCTTGGTGTCATTATACTCCTTATAGTGTGCTCTAAAATATGGACTACACTACCGTTCAAAAGTTTGGGGTCATTTAGAAATGTCCTTGTTTTTGAAAGAAAAGCAATTTTTTTGTCCATTAAAATAACATCAAATTGATCAGAAATACAGTGTAGACATTGTTAATGTTGTAAATGGCTATTGTAGCTGGAAACGGCTGATTTTTAATAGAATATCTACATTGGCGTACAGAGGCCCATTATCAGCAACCATCAGTCCTGTGTTCCAATGGCACATTCTGTTTGCTAATCCAAGTTTATAATTTTAAAAGGCTAATTGATCATTAGAAAACCCTTTGCAATTATGTTAGCACAGCTGAAAACTGTTGTGCAGATTAAAGAAGCAATAAAACTGGCCTTCTTGAGACTAGTTGAGTATCTGGAGCATCAGCATTTGTGGGTTCGATTACAGGCTCAAAATGGCCAGAAACAAATACATTTCTTCTGAAACTCGTCAGTCTATTCTTGTTCTGAGAAAGAAGGCTATTCCATGCGAGAAATTGCCAAGAAACTGAAGATCTCGTACAACGCTGTGTACTACTCCCTTCACAGAACAGCGCAAACTGGCTCTAACCAGAATAGAAAGAGGAGTGGGA